CACACACACACACACACACACACACACACACACACATGAAAAATCAGTCCAACAGCTAAAAATAGTCATCTCTGCTAATTCAATCCATTTTCAAATCAATTCTTCAACACTCGACATCCAATTTTAATTAATTGTTAGTAAACAAGCTTCAACCTGCTAAACTTCCCAGACCAGAGAAAGTTGGCCATGTGCTGCCACATGCTTAGACGTGCCATGGTTAGGCCTCTCCTACACTACTGAAACATGAAAACTTTGGCAAAAGAATAAAGCTTTTGATAGCCAAGGAATGGAGAGAGGCTCTGGGCAAAGGAATTCATTGAGTGGAAGGGAAGCCCATTGATAGGGATTGGTGGACAGAAGTGTTAGGCTTGTCCATCCCATCAGAAGGAATTGAATCAGGTTCTCTGGGACACAGGAGAGAGAAATGTCAAAGAGACATGGATACAGTATAATATCTTGGCCAAGGAAAGAGTTTATTAGAAGGTATTTCATTGAATAAAAAAAGGATGGCTGAACAACCAAGATATCAAAGTATCAACCGTGACAACAGTTAAATGTGGAAATATTACAGAAACAAGGATCAAAGGGAATAGAAATGAGAAAAAGAGAAGGGAAAGTTGGAATTAGGTTACATTTGAATTTTAGGATAATTTAATTTTTTGGAAGAAATAATTGAAGGACCCATTTACAAAACAGATTCGCACCTGCAGGAAAAACATGGCTAAGAAGAGAAAAATACCTTCCAGGCCTTCAACCTTGGAGCTCCAACCTTCATACCTCTGCTCCTTACTGATCTCTTGAATGAAGATATATAAGCTGAATTTAAGGTTTTTTCCACAGCCCAGATGGTGTTGTAAATGAGGTAGCTATTCATAGCCAGGACCCGATCAATCTCCTCTTTCCTCAGAGTCCCCAGATCTTCTCTTTGTCTGCACCGTGTCCAGACTTTCACTGAAATATTGTCCTTAGTGGATGAACATGTAAAGGTTTTCTCCAAAAACTTATCTGCGGATAAGTGAAAGAGCTTTAAATCATCATAGTTTGCCAATTTCCTTTTCCGTACCAGAAAGGAAAAAATAGCATGGAAGTATTTCAGTGAAATGCGTTTATATATCAAATCAGGACTCAGATCCCAGTGAGCTGTGGTCATCCAGACTTTTCCTTCGATAGATTGCTGAACTATTCGAAATGCTTCTTGTACAATCATTATTCCTACATCGAATGAACTAATCTCTGAACTATAAACAAAAACATTGACTTTTCTCCATTTATAATATTCTATTAATATTATAATCATTGCAGTAACGCTTAGTGGACAACTTTGATGTATAACTGCACAAATGCCATTCCTTAACATCAAAGAAGCCATTGTCCTCATGAACCTCTCCCCCTGGTCAGTTTCTGGAGCAACCAGAGCAACCAAGGTCCACCTGAAATGGAGTAGCAGTTGGACCATTCCTGGGTACTGGACTCCTTCAGCAGGGAGCATTGGGTAGAAGAAAGGAAACTGAGTTTTATCCCTCAGAATCTGGGAAGTAAAACTATAACTGATCTGAAAGGAATGGAAGATGGTGGTAGTTTAAATTTAACAAACAAAACATAATTTCTCTCATTTCCATTATCTAACTCTGCTTTCCATTTGTTACATGACTGGAAACTGTTTCCCCAAGAAAGACACACCTGAGGGATTTTGTAGGTGCCCAACATGGTTGATATCTGGATGGAGATGCCCGTCTCAGC